TTTTTTTTTTTTTTTTTTGAGACAGGGTTTCTCTGTAGCTTTGGAGTCTGTCCCAGAAGCTAGACCAGGCTGGTCTCGAACTCACAGAGATCCGCCTGCCTCTGCCTCTTGAGTGCTGGGATTAAAGGCGTGCACTATCACCACCCGGCATAATTTCCCCATCTTCAAACACATTTTTGACATTTTTCAAAACCAATTGTGAAACAGTTGACTTAAAGTTAACTTTACAGTGAATCAAGCTCGTAATCATTTGCTTCTGGCTATGCTGGGGCACACGAGACCCTTAAAACGAACGAACCAACCAAGTCAGCTTCTCTAGCAAAGTACTGTGTGATGAAGAAAAGGTTACACATGCAATGCATTTCAGATACTACTACTGTGAGTAGGTTTTATTTTAAGAAATGAATAACAGTCGATACAAAACGTTTGCTCCAAGAAGTATTTCACACTTCTGAGGGGAAGGTAATCAATACTGAACATTTTCCTCGTTCGGTGTTTCTAATGTTTATAGGGGTTTGGGGTAAGTTTCATAGTCACTGAGCAGTTTTGAAAGGTAGACTTCATGACCCCTTTGACTTCATGCTTTTAAATGACACGACACATTATTTTATTCCAATTATGTTTTCCAAAAGAGCGGGTTCTGTGCCAGTCGTCTCTGGAAGTTCTCATACCTAGGAGAGAAAATCCAGATTTGTGTAAGAGCATTTCCATCACAATTTCAGAGCTCACCAAAAAACTATAATAAAAAAGTAGAAAGTAGACCAGGCTGGCGTCGAACTCACAGAGTGAACTGACCAGAACTCATTTCTGTGAGTTTGAGGCCAGCCTGGTTTATTGAGTTAGTTCCAGGACAGGCTCCAAAGCTACAGGGAAACCCTGTCTCAAAAAACAAAACAAAATAAAAAGTAGAAAGCAACTCTGGAAGTTATCACTATAAAAGCATAAACAGTGACCAAGGATGAGATGGATTGACAGCTCTTGGCAGAGAGCAGCGACCACCTCCACCTCCGCAATCAGACGACAGATGATCAGACGCTAGAAAGTCAAGGAAAGGGATCACTGCAAAGGGCAGATCCCTGGAAGCAGTTTGCTCAAAGCCACAGCCGCATTGGGGCAAAAAAAAACACAAACCCAGTATACCCTGGGGCCCCTTGCTAGAGCAAAGTACCACCTCCTATAAAGCTTCCTGAACAGCTCCCCACTGGACATTCAAAGTGAAAAGAAATTCCTACAAAACATAGGAAGCCAGAAAAAAAACATCTACTAGTCACATGTTCACAGTGCAGTGCAAGCCACACGATGCCTGGTATGCTGACTTTCAATTTGTCTGTTAATGTTTCTGAGTTATTTTTAATTTACTTGTAAGAGCATTCTGCCTGTATGCATGTATTTGTACCAGGTGTGTGTTATCTACTGGAGCCAGAAGAGGACATCAGCTCCTCTGAAACTGGAGTCACAGTTGGTTGTGAGTACTGGGAACTGGAACTCCGGTCCTCTGGCAGAGCAGCAAGTACTCTCATAAGTGACAGGATACTTGGGGTATGAACTATTCCAGATCTGAACGCTACAGAACATATAATACTGATATGCAATATATTAACATACGTTGATATCCACAATAAAAGACTATGTTTACCTCTCAAAGACAAAAGACAGTCACAGACAATATATACGTAGTTACTAAAGCCTTACTACTAAAGACTGAAATTGTCAAATACCATTTCAGAACCACATTCGCTGGGATGAACATTTCAGATGGATTGGGTGTCATCTGGGCCTGAGAGAGAGCAAATGATGAAGCAAAATTGTAGAAGTTGTCCAACATCTTCTGTGTGAACTGAAAAGTTAATAACTGATGTTAGTGAATTATATTAAATATTCAGTTTAGGCCTCAATACTCTTATTAAAAGTATTCCTGTATCAACTTGGTTCTAAGGAATATAAGCTCTATGACAGCCAGGTGTGGTAGCACATACTTTTAATTCAGGACTCAAGAGATTTCTATCAGTTCCAGGCCAACCTGGTCTACACAGTTTGGGCCAGCCAGTGCTAGAGACAGGGGCTCTGCATTTATAGTACGTGGTGGAACTGAGAAAGACCTAACACAGTCTGGTGAGGAAGGCTTAGGTCGTCGTGCGGTGATTTGGTCTGCAGGAATGAAGGGAAAATCTTCCTTCGAAACGCTTTCACATCAATGTCTGCACACCCTCTAACACACTCTCCTCCAACCACCACCTCTACGAGGTCTGGGTCTTGACAGAACTATAAAAGCTTAACTACTGAGCTGAAGAGAGAACTCAGCAGTTAAGAGCACTGGGTGCTCTTCCGGAGGTCCCGAGTTCAATTCCCAGGACCCACATGGTGGCTCACAACCATCTACAATGGGATCGGATGCCCTCTTTTGGAATGCAGGAATACATGCAGACAGAACACTTGTATAAAAAATAAATAAAAAGGGCTGGAAAAGATGGCTCAGTGGTTAAGAGCATTGCCTGCTCTTCCAAAGGTCCTGAGTTCAATTCCCGGCAACCACATGGTGGCTCACAACCATCTGTAATGAGGTCTGGTGCCCTCTTCTGGCCTACATACAGACAGAATATTGTATACATAATAAATAAATATTTAAAAATAAATAAATAAATAAATAAATACTTAAAAAAAAAAAAA